TTTTTATTTTTAATATTTTCATAAATTTTGGACTCACTTGTATTTTTTAAAAACGTTTAGGACTTTGATTGTAATTAGTTCTTTATTTTTCTATTTTTTGTTTTATTTATATAGGAGGGTATAAGGGTCATTTTATATTAAAAATTGGTGAAAAGGACCTTCAGCGCAAAGAATGTGAAAGGTAGGGATGTTCTACACCAAAAAATGAAAGGTAGGGTGTTTTCCACAAACACCTTCAAAGGTAAGGACGTTTTGCGCCAATTACCCTTTCTTTTTTTATTTTTCTTTTCTTGTTCAATTTACATAGGAGGGTATATTGGTTATTTTGAATTAAAAAAAATGTGCAAAGGACGTTCAGTGCAAAGAAATGCAGAAGGTAGGGGCGTTTTGTGCCAAAAAATGAAAGGTAGGGATGTTTTCTACAATAAACTTGATAGGTAGGGACGTTGCGCACCAAAAAATCAAACGTAGGGATGTTTTCCACACAACCCTTCAAAGGTAGGGACGTTTTGCGTCAATAACCCTTATCATTTCATAGTTAAGAACTTTGATAATATAAAAAAATACTATATTTTCTAGACTACTCTTTGCTTATTTTTCAAGTATAGCATATAAATTATAACCAAAATTATTTTATAAATTTTGGCGGCACATAGAATATTTTATTATTAATCAGTTCCCGAACGTTACATAGAGCAAAGATATCTTAAAATTCTAGATATTTTGTATAAACTTTTATATTTTCACAAGTAGTATAAAAAACTTATTTTCCTTCATAATTTTTCGTAGAAATTCTTTTCGTAGAAATTATCTCTCTCTCTCTCTCTCTCTCTCTCTCTGGAGGACAAAACAAAAACCGAAGAGGAACGAAGTTTGATTCCCCCTCTCCCCTTCTCAACTCTGCAAATCCTAAACCTGAACAATCATAACCCTGACCCTAATCCCATATCCACAGAGACTATGTTTAATAACTACGACTCCAGGCTCCACGATGCCGGCTCCTACCGTCAGCGCCGAAGGTACTTCAATTTTTTTTAAAGCATTTGTTCATGTTTAATTTGTGTTTACATGCTTGTGTATGTGAAAAATAAGTTTATTTGTGTGTGTATCGCAATTGCATAGATTACAATGAGTAATATTGATAATTGGTGTACAAAAGTTTTACTTTTTCAAAATAGGTTTTTAGGTATGTTGTTTAATGGGAGTATTTAAAAATCTATACGAAAGGGCACACTGCCTTCTCCTGGGTTTTCTTGTTTACTTTTGTATTTTTATATTGCATTTCTGTTTGTAATGTTTAATGGGTGTATTTATATTTTATACAAAGGGTTCAACCCTCTTTGCTGGGTTTTTTTCGTGTTTTTCCATCGTATATTTGAATTATCTGTACATATGAACATATACTCGTGCATTTCTGTTTGTATGCTTGTGTGTGTAGACAAGTATGTACATGCGTGTGTAGCAACTGTGCTGTGTGCCGAAGTAATCATCTTTCTAAATCAGTTTCAGTATATGTATGTGCTTATTTATAATGATCTAATGGGTGTATATATACGAAGAGTTCAACATTTTCTGTTGGTTCTTGATTTCTTTTGATTACATGTGCATTTTTGTATATAAATATTTTAATATGTACTTAATGGTTTTTTAATTTTCTATTTGATTGTAGTGATTTAATGGGACAACCGCCATTTGCAATTCCACCACCTATTCCACCAAGCTATGGTCGTGGGGGGCCATCTCCGTATGGAGGTATTCCAGCGGCACATCATTCTATGGGGGATGGTGAAAGAATTGGAAGAGGCGGTGTTGGTACTTTTAGTGGGAATTCTGCTTTTGAGCATGGTGTTGAAAGAGGGTTTGATGTCACCCGTGGTGGCAGTCTAAGTGGCCGTGGTGGAGGATTTAACTATGGTGCAATTGGAGACAGGAGTGATGGAAGAAGTCATGAAGGTGGCAGAGGAGGTGGTGTTGCGGGGAGGGGTATTGATTTGGGTCACGGCGGAGGTAGAAGGGGTAGAGCTGGGAATTTTGGCGGTGGGCGTACTGGAGGTAGGAGCAGTTTTTATGGAGGTCGTGGTGGCAGTGATTGGAGAGGGAGTAGGCCTACAGATGACTTAGATAACATTGCTCTTCCCAGGCAAGATTTTGGTAATTTGGTTCCTTTTAGAAAGGACTTTTATGTTGAGAGCCCATCTGTGAGTGCAATGACCAATCAAGAGGTTGCAATGTACCGAGCTAGGCGGGATATTACTGTTCAAGGCAATGATATTCCCAAACCAGTCCGGATATTTCAAGAAGCAAGTTTTCCTGGTATTACTACGTCTTTATAGTAAACTTATCATTTTTTCATTAAAGAATGCCATGATAGCCTGGTTCCAGATGTGTGCATTCTTGCTTTGTGGGGCTCGCACTGTGGGCCAACCATCTCTCGTGTTTAAATCAAACTCATGGCTGATAAGTTATATTGTAGCTTTAGGAAATAACTTTCATAATAATGTTAAGCTGATGGGATTTGTATGGTTTTGTAGATTATTGCCTTGAGGTTATTGCTAGATTGGGTTTTACTGAGCCAACTCCGATTCAATCACAAGGATGGCCTATGGCTTTGAAAGGTAGAGATTTGATTGGCATTGCTGAGACTGGTTCAGGAAAGACCTTGGCCTATTTGCTACCTGCTTTGGTTCATGTTAGTGCTCAGCCCTGTCTGGGTAAGTCCATCTCTGCTAGATCCTTTGTTATGATTGAATTTCACCTTTATATGAATTTAATTTCTAGCAATTCCATTTTACGGGGACAAAAATTCGTAAATACCAGCACAAGGCGAAGGTCCCATTGTAGTAGTATTAGCTCCTACCAGAGAACTGGCTGTTCAGATCCAACAAGAAGCTTTCAAATTTGGATCCCGTGCAAATGTAAGGAGCACTTGTATTTATGGTGGTGCCCCAAAAGGACCACAAATCCGCGATCTTAGAAGAGGTATTCTTTCTCCTTGTCTAGTTCTTTTCGAAATCTGTTAGCACTGATATTTGATGGGAATTGTTTAAGTTTTTTTTTTTTAAAACTTATACAGGGGTCGAAATTGTGATTGCTACTCCTGGAAGATTGATAGACATGCTGGAATCTCAACATACAAACCTGAGAAGGGTGACTTACCTTGTGTTGGATGAGGCTGATCGCATGCTGGATATGGGATTTGAACCTCAAATCAGGAAAATTATTTCCCAGGTGAGCAGACTCGTATTCTATTCTACTTTATCGGTTTTGACTAAATCATCATTGTTTTCTGGGTCATGTGAAATTAATAACCTCAAGTAGCCATTTTCTAAGAGCCACGCGATGGCATTGGAGTTTAATAATTGGATTTTACGAGCCTTTTTTGGTTAATTACTACAGATTGCTAACTCAACATATGTGTCAATCTCATTTACTGCAGATTGCTAATGCATTTTTGTGCTACTTTTGTTAGATAGAGAGTCTATTGTGCTTCTCCTACAGATTGCTAACGCAACATATGTCGATCTCTTTTACTACAGATTGCTGCTGCCTTTTTGTGATACTTTTGTTAGAGAGAGAGAGAGAGAGTCTATCGTGCTTCTCAGTTTCTTGATAGTACAAATTTTTGCATTCTCACTAGCTAAATCATCTTTCTAATTTTAACTTGGTTTTGAGTTTAATCATCTGTCCCTTTGATAGCACATGTATTCCACTTAGATAGAGTGGGAGTTTATGACCAGATTGAAATTAGAATTTTGGACTAATTTGGGACCACTGTATTGCAGTTTGCTATTATGCACGAAGCTAAAGTAAAATAATTTAGCGAGTTTTGGAGAGAAAACAGGTGACTTGACTTAATCAGGAACCAATGGAAAATCAATGCTTACATGAACCTTTTACTTTCTGCTTTTCACTCTCATCTTTGGGAAATTTCAAAAATTTGTTCTCTAGGGTGGGAAAAATGAAGATCATATGGGACAGTTATGATTCACTAATATAGGACTAAGATTTCCAATTTCTGAAGTTCGTGTATTGACAAACTTTGTTGCACAAATATTTCAACTAGGGTAGCCTGCCCACACGGCGGACCCCGGGGGGGGGGGGTGGTCCTGGGGGGTCACGTGACCCCCCAACTTTTGAGATTTTTTTCTTTCTTTGATAAAGTCATGTTTGGTATTGATTGAAATCTAAATTTTAATCTAAATCAAAGTTAACAATTAATTTTAATAACATATTTCATGGAATCCATAACTGTTTTACTTTTATTAAAATTTACTAAAAAATTAATTTTAATTTCCACTAAATAGGGGCAAAATTACAATAAATTTGAATTTTTCTCTTTTTTCTTGCTTTCTTTTCCTCACGCTTTTTAACAAAATTTTAACCCTTCTAATTTTTTAAAATTTGTATATAATTTCTCTACAATTTATCACATTTACTACAAATCTTTACTTTTCAATCAAATTTTCAACCTAAATTTGCATTTTCTACTATCAAACTGTATATATAGAATGTGTCTGAACTCATTATATCCAATTTGACTTATATTTGACGAATTATGTTTATTTGATTGATTATTAGTATTGAATATTAGTTATATATTTTTCTTTTCGATTACTTGAATTGATTGTTTGTATCAAATATATTATAAGATTTTTTAAACGTAAATATGCATTTTCTTGTGATGAACAAAACATTAATAAAATGATCTTCGAAATCAAATGGATGAAAATGATTAACAAAATATTAATGAAGAAATGTTTTTTAAATGTAAATATGCATTGTCTTAAGTCAAATATGAATCATTCAAAAATCAAAATCAAAATATTCCATTTGTACAGAGTTTGATTGGTCCCCCTAACTCAAAATGTCTACGTCCGCCCCTGCCTGTTCGTGTCCGACACGTGTTGAAACAGACACTCCTCGAATACTTTATCATAATTATTTTTTTTCTTTTTATTAGAAATATTATATATTTTTAACTCAAAGTTATTAATAAATAACAAATAGGTACTCATATTAAATATGTCAATAGGAAAATTTATAACAAGTGTAAAACTAAATTTATACTATATAAATGAAGAATTTAATCAATGTGTTGGCGATGTGCCGTGTCAGTATTTTTTTGAAAAATCGGCTTATCCGACACATATCATGTTGGACATGTTCTTGTTGATGCATCATGGCTGACAACTGTATAAGGAGAATGTAATAAATCTACGAGTTCCTGGATGCACTGTAGAAATTCTTGTACCTAATGGATTGGCTTTCCTTGTTCTTGTGACTTCTTGGACGTGCATAATCTTTAATATTGCTATGAAATAACGTTCAAATTTGTATGGACTTATTATAATTAAAAGTTACCAGCCTCCAGTGCACCATCAATTAGCATTGCACATTTTTCTCAAGAGTTGTTAAGCTAGAGACCCTTTTAGTGGGAATGATTTTATCTTTTAAACCAATAACTGTGCATACATCTGGGTAGAAGACTTCATTTTGGTAATGCTTAATAAACACTCTCCTGTCCTCGTAATGCGACTGTAAGCCGTCAAACTTATTTTACCTCTGTTATTATTTGACATTCTAGATTCTAGAATATGATGATGCTATGATGGATATCTTGCTATGCTAGAATGGATAAAATTATACATGAGAATAAATAACAACTCCTGAATGTAGCAGTAAGGATGAAATAAGAGCGTCAAGTCAGGTGGTTGTGACATGTCTTTTATATGCCGAAGAATCTTGTGATCTTTGTAGAGCAAAACATGATTGGAGAGAGAGTTGTAGACCAAAATTAACATGGTCTGATGTGGTTGTCTAGGAGTTGGTTTCATTGGATTTTTCTGGTTGATGTATTGATGAATCTCGAATAGAGGGGTAAATGAGAGTCATCTATCTGATCCCTAATTTGTTTGGGACCAAGGCATAGTTTTGTTGTTATACTCTTTGGCATCTCAAGACTGTAGTCTATTATATGATTAATCTTAATAAACTGAGTTTTAGCTTATTTTTTACGATTGGCATAGATTGTATTAACAATCTAACAAAGACTTTCCGTCTTAATATTTTTAACTCTTTAACTATGTGTATGTAGCTTTTAAAATTCTGGAACACCTAGGACGTGCCTCAAATTTTTTACTTTCAATAACTTGTACCAGAACCTTGTACTATGGCAGGTACTATTATGTGTATTAAATTTTTTTCTTGATTGGGTTCTTACATTGAAAGGTACAAGTGGGGGGCACCATGCCTGTGTAGTAGTATATCACTCAGTATGTACAAAACAAAATGACCTCTCAAAAGGTCAATCCACAAGTTTTTACAGGTGGAGATGAGATGTTTATTCCAAACAACAGGGGAAAAAACCTATGTATTTCTCCAGATTGGAATTATTTGAACAACTGCCAATTCTATTCCCTTAGAAGCACCAACATTCATACATGAGGTTCCACCTTCCGAGTAGGAATTTCTAAGATTGACAAAAAACTCATTCAATATGTATTCCCTTCGAAGCACCTACATGCATCATGAGATGCTACCTTCCGAGGAGGAATTTTGAAAATTGACAAAAAAAAAAAATAATAAAATAAAATATGAAAACCCATCCAGTACATGTCAAATTGTAAGTTGACTCCAAATAATAATAATGATGATGATGATGACTACGATGATGATGATGGATGAGTAAGCTCAATTCCGTGCACTCCATCTGGACAACTCCTAACTGAAGCAACCATCACCACTGACAATTTCTATGCATTCATTAAGTGTCATTCTTGCTAAGAGCCATAATTTATAAGCATAAATTATCTTCTGTCAATTTTTTTCTTCATGTTTAAAAATACTGTCCTGATGCAGATTCGCCCGGATAGGCAAACCTTGTATTGGAGTGCCACGTGGCCGAGGGAGGTGGAAACTCTAGCAAGGCAGTTTTTATGCAATGCTTATAAGGTTTCTCTTGCATTCTTTTTCCCCACTGCACGATGCTTTATATGTAAAGGTTTCAGTCATAATCTGGATCCATATATTTTCACTTGTTGCTCTTTTTTGAACCTAAAATCTTTCAGGTTATTATTGGGTCTCCAGATCTGAAAGCAAATCAATCTATACAACAAGTTGTTGAAATTATGACAGATTTGGAGAAATATAACAGGTGACATTTGTAACACAAGTGTTGATTTTTGGCTTTTATGACTATGATCTCTCACCACACTTCGCTCTTGCAGGTTGATCAGATTGCTGAAAGACGTGATGGATGGAAGTAAAATTTTAATTTTTGTGGAAACAAAGAAAGGATGTGATCAAGTCACAAGACAGCTGAGAATGGATGGATGGCCAGCTTTATCCATTCATGGTGATAAAAGCCAGGATGAAAGGGATCGAGTCCTTGGCGAGTTTAAGAGTGGCAGAAGTCCTATAATGATTGCCACTGATGTTGCTGCTCGTGGTCTTGGTAGGATTAGTGTTATGGCTTAGTAACTTTTAGTCTCTCATTTGAGAACTTCCAACTCCAAACATAGTCGAGTCTCCGGCTGTTGTCCATGTTCCCGAGAATATTGTGGTTTGGGTGCAGAAGGCGGTGTTATTATGCTGTCGTATGTGATGTTCTTTTCTGATGCGCAGAATTGAGGATCTTGTAAGCATAGGATGCTGAGTTTGGGGGTTTTGAGCAACTAAGTTGTTCGCGATACAATGTGGTTCCTCATATGTTGAGTAACACATTGATGTTAACACTGCCCATCCACAGCTATGGATATGGTACTAGTGACAGCCGGTTGACTCGCACGAGATTGTTCATTGATTGGATGGGTTGATTTTAAAATTTACGGAGGTTGGTTGCTCATTATCCCTGCAAGATTAGGTAGTCACATTTACAAAGTGTGTTTTATCTTGCATATGATTCCTTGGATCCTAGGAGTGCAGGGATAAGGTGGCTTTGCATTGTTTTTCTGAGCTTAAAATGTTTACTTATAAGTAAATAGGTTTTAGAATTTTATTTGTTATAGTTTGAGATGAATTATTTTGATAGTAAGGTATGAGATACTTAAAAGAGTAACTATTCTACGAACATGAATGGAGACAAAATGTTACTTAAAATTTTAAGCTTAGGTAAGCATGCTCCATATTGAGTTTCGCTAATGCTTTTTTCCTTTTTGGATGAGAGTTTCACTAATGTTTTTTTAACTGTATTGTATTGTAAAATTTCTGTCTGTACTTTTTTGTAGATGTGAAGGACATAAAATGTGTCATCAATTTCGACTTTCCATCAAGTCTTGAGGATTATGTCCACAGAATTGGGCGAACTGGTCGTGCAGGAGCCAAAGGAACTGCATTCACATTTTTTACCCACGGAAATGTCAAGTATGCAAGAGAACTTATAAAGATCATGCAACAAGCAGGACAAGCTGTTCCTCCTGAGTTGGCTGTGATGGTCCGATCTAACGCAGGAGGTTAGTATTGGGGAATTATTATATTTATGAACCGAAATCTGAGCGAAGTATACCTGGTCCAAATTGGCATGTGCACCATTAATCCAAATAGTATTGCATCAAACACGTTTGTATGCTGACTATATAATTCTCAACTTTTAGAAAGTAAAAGGAGCTAAAATCTCGTTTCCAATCTTTAGCTATTATTGAGTGCCAAAAATTTACTAAGCAATCACCATTGATACTGTCAGTTGTATGGCATCCTATGTTATAAAAGAGTCTTCGTAACATGGTTTTGAACTCAAGATCTTTGTATATGCATTCCGTTTCTTGATTTGATCTTCACTTATTCTCATTTTCATTTCTGGCAGCTTCCGGAAACAACTTCCGATCCAGAGGTCGAGGAGGTTTCGGCGATCGAGGAAGATATGGTAACCGTGGGATATCTGGGTCGAACACTATCCCTCTTGGTGGTACAAGGAGGCCTTGGTAGTTTTAGCCAATTGTTGTCACATCCCCTCGTAGTCATAGATAGCTGGGGGAATGTGCACAAAATGCACAATGGATGTGGGATCTTTAATGTAATTCTACTCCTACTCAAAATATCTAAAATGTCATGTTGAGCTTCTAATTTTTACTCTTTTCCCTGTTCCATGTTTTGATCCGGTCGAAGTTAGGTAGATTGGATATCAAATAATTTAACATATGGACTCGTAGCTTTTTCACTCTTTTAATCACATTTTCGAAAAAAAAAATTACAAAATTTATTTTCAAAAATCTCTACTCCATTCGTTCTATTACAATATGCTTGCTTTCCTTTTTTGCTTGTCTTAAATTATAGGTAATTTTCTTGTTGAGAGTATAATTGATTTTTGAGATTTGTTTCAATTTAATATCTTGTTAATTAATAAAAATTTTAAATTGTTGATAATTATATTAACACCACAATTTTTATTTTTTACGCTACTTTTTAATTGCACTAAAAGTTTTTTTCTTTGTTTATTATAGCACTTGTATTCTTAATACTTTTTCATATCAGTTCAAAATCCATTGAAATGACTTATTTTTTCGTCGTATTTTTAAAAAATATAATACCGAGCAAAGATTGAAGAACTTAACTTTTAGTGTAATACCGAGCAAAGATTGAAGAACTTAACTGTAATTAAAATATAGTTTATCAAATAAAAATTGTGGCGACAATATAAGAGTAATGTTATTTATCATCATAATGATGAAATATCGGTGATGTGGCTATTCATTTCTCTCTGTCATAAAAATTGAACTGTCAAAATCACATTATTACACATAAATGTTACATCGTCGATATTTCATTATCATAATAATAAATAACATTATTCGCAATATAACTATTATTCAACGTTACTAAGAGTGGAATATTAGGAAAAAAGTAAGTTAAATTTATATTTTTAACTATATTAATTAAATTTTCTTAATTTATGTAAAAATAAAAACAAAACTATCTTTATGGGACGAAGGGATGAAATAGGAGCTAAGTTTTTCTCGTGTTTTAAATACTGTCAAAGTATTAATTTATTTATAATTTGTACAATTTATTTATACTCTTTTCCGATTATTAATATTAATGTGTACAATTTTTTCTTTTTTCGAAAAAAAATTTAGTTTTTCGTTATTGTATTTTTTACATGTAATAGTCTTAAGAATATTATTTTTTTCTAAACTTAACATTCTTTATTTCAATTACTTTAATATTCATGCAAAAGATAAATCCAATCTTTTATCCTGTTAGGAAAAACAAAATTGCACAAACAAAAAATAAATAAAAATAAGAAAAATGGGGCTCAAATCAAATTATCAATGTTCGTAATTAGCTGCATTTAATGAGGGTAATATCGTAATATCGTAAGCCCTAATCTTCACCTTCCTTACCCTTCGCCCCAAACCAATTCTATCTGTATAAATTCCTCAGAAACCCTAACCCTAAATCCTCCTACCTGCACGCTGCTGCTCCCACTCCGAAGAAAATGACGACCTCATTGAAGAAACACCGGAAGAAGCGCGGCCACGTGAGCGCCGGTCACGGCCGTATCGGAAAACACCGAAAGCATCCCGCAGGCCGAGGTAACGCTGGAGGAATGCATCACCACCGTATTCTCTTCGACAAGTACCATCCCGGCTACTTTGGTAAAGTCGGCATGAGGTACTTCCACAAGCTCCGCAACAAGTTCTTCTGTCCCACTGTCAACATCGACAAAATATGGTCACTCGTCCCTCCCGAAGTGAAGGCCCAGGCCGAGAAGAGCAAGGAATCAGCTCCGGTGATTGATGTGACTCAGTTTGGGTACTTTAAGGTTCTGGGTAAGGGTGTTCTTCCCCCGAGTCAGCCAGTTGTGGTGAAAGCCAAGCTCGTGTCGAAGATTGCTGAGAAGAAGATTAAAGAAGCAGGTGGTGCTGTCGTCCTCACCGCTTAATTGGGTTTGAATTTTTTTTTTTTTTATTTTTCTCTCTCATTAGGATTTTTGAATTAATGGTGAATCTCAGCCATGGAGTTTTGTTCTATTACCCTTGAAATGTTACTATGAATACTTTCAATTTGCACGATTTAATATCCGTTTTAAGTGTTTTTTGTATCAATTTTGTTGCTCACTAGAATCGAAAAGTATAATGATCTGTTGTTCGTTCTTACCCTTAGATAGGTTCAATAATAAGTACCTAAATATTCATAGTGAACTTAGCAATAACTCAATGATCTATTCACTGCCCGAGCCTCAAAGGACTATCCGTCTGCATCACATGTATGAATTAGAAAAAGGGTTCTTTAGCATACAAGTAGTTCTTTTTGTTAACATGCTGAGTCCAACAAGGCTCGGCATGGGGGCCTTAGAAACGAAGATAAGCTTTTATCAACCAACAAATATTCCCCTGGGAAAACTTTCTTTTCTCTTTTGAGCATTTGTCGGAGTTTACGAGGCATATGGTTTTATGTTATTCATTGGTGACATTTTCTTCTTGCGAGGAGTTTTTCTTTATTATGTATGACACTGGTTATAATTGCATGGGGAGAGTTTGTGGACACTGAAAGCTTCAGCCAGTTCAGTTGCGATAACTATTTTTTTCTGTTTAGACATTGTCTCCGTGCCATTGGAGTATCTGTAATTTTTCTTGAAAAAACACTCATACTTTAATATAATTGACATCTTAGTTTTTGTCATGTGGCTTTCTATATCATTTGTAATTATCGTTTAGTAATGCATGTTAGATTCACTCATAGCGCTAAAGGTTTGCATTTCTGCGCTTGTTATTAAGGATTGTTGCTGCTACATTAGTGCTTGCAAGTTGTCTATCAGAGTGTATGAGCCATGTTGATTTCTATTTCTGAATGCTGTTTCTTGATGCTGATAACAAGTTAATATTGATTGAGGGTCGTGTTTGTATCTCTTTGGATTTGCAATGCCTATGTTTGTTTTGTCAACTCTTTTGGTTTCTTTGACAAGATTATTAGGTGGCGTGTAATTTTGATCATCTTCTGCATGATTTGCTTCTGGTTTGTGTATGCGCGCATTCTGTGAATCTGTTAGCTTGCTTAATGTGGTAGCGCATTCAAAAGTGTTAGGCCGACGGCTCCTGCAGAACATACCATTTTGCTCCTTCATTTTCACTTGTATAAAAACTTTACATTGGTTTCCATTTAACATGGGGTTTAAACGTTGTGTTTCATTTGTCATCATCATGGTCACACTACAACAGTCGTAACAAATATCCTTGCTGAAAACAGTCACAAAAGCGTTCACAACATACTACTAGGAGTCACACGAGTCGACAACTTTCAATAACAAATATTCCCCTGGGAAAACTTTCTTTGTTCTTTCGAGCATTTGTCAGAGTTTAGGAGGCATATGGTTTTATGTTATTCATTGACGACATTTTCTTGTTGCGTGGAGTGATACTAGTTATAATTGCATGGGGAGAGTTTGTGGACACTGAAAGCTTCAGCCAGTTCAGCTTTCTAAATTGCGATAACTATTTTTTTCTGTTTATATACTGTCTCCTGTAATTTTTCTTTAAAAAACACTCGTACTTAAATATAATTGACATCTTAGTTTTTGTCATGTGGCTTTCTATATCATTTGTGCTATCAAAAAATACAGCAATGGAGAAAATAAAGGAAGAAGATGATGAACATAAAATCTGGCAAAGGTTTGAACACGAAGAATGTATCGTTGTCCTCAAAGGATGTTTGCCTCATCGACAATCCTTTTGAGGATTTAATTGGCAAATAGTTTGTTGGATTAAACAAGCTTTTAATGAAGATTACCAAAAGCAAAGTAAATCTTCAAATGAACAAGTGAGAAAGAGGAATTTGATTATGTAGAGAGATGAAAAATTCTTTAAAAATTGTATGAATATTACATTGAATTTTTTTATTCATTCATATATTTTGGGACAAGAACAACAAGTATTTATAGATTTCAATCATCTCATACAAAGTGGTTCAAATTTCAAAGCAAGAGATGTAATGTTTCATAAACAAACCATCAGAAAATTCAAAAAAACCCAACCAATGTCACAGTTTTCATCTATGCAACCGCATAGGCTAGGATGAGAACAACAAGTATTTATAGATTTCAATCATCTCATACGAAGTTGTTCTAATTTCAAAGCAAGAGATGCAATATTTCATAAATAAACCAGCAGAAAATTCAAAAAAACTCAACCAACGGTCACATTTTTCAACTATGCGACCACATAGGCTATAACTATGCGGTCGCATAGTTATAGCATTTGCTGCCTGAAGTTTTCCTGCAAATTGCTATGCGACCGCAAGCCTAAATGGCTTATAAGATCTCATAGACCATTTTAGGGCACGTTTTTTTCTTCTTTTTCTTAATTCATCTTTCATCCACTTATATGATTTTGAACAACAAATTTACAACAATCCCTCATTTGTTCAAAATCAATATTAATCACATAATCAAATATCGACACCCATGCATAAGGATTAGATATTTTACGATTTGAATTTAACCATAATGTAAATCTCATAAAGTATTATCGAAATTTCAGGTAGCTAGAACGCTTTGAACTAATTATTCCTTGAGACAATACCAATGAAATCAAACACACAAGTGTTAAATTTCCATAAGTTCCTCTAACTCTCTTAGCGCTAATATGACATTGCACTTATCATTTTTCTTTGAATTTTAAAGAGAGAAAACTCCAACTTTCTAATGAGGTGGCACCACCTCAAAATTCACATAAGTGAAGTTCTTCCAGTATCTTTGTTACTTTTAAAGATACTCGTACCCCATACTAAACTTCATTAAGAGTTTTAATTATAACTCATCTCTCAAACAATAACAACCAACATTATTTACTAAAGATAGGGTTTAATAAATTTTTTAGTGTTGAAATCCATTCACTTATTGAATAACTTGTTATTACCCCTTAAACCAAAATATACTTTTGGTAGTGTTGCCATCATTGGTGGATTTAATTAAGGAGTTTCAACCCCATCCTACTTGAAATCAATCTTACTAACTCTCTCGTGAGAGGTTTAATAAACGGATAAACTAAATTCTCACTAGACTTAATAAATGTAAGAGAAATTATTCCATGTTTTATTAATTTCCTTACATGTATCTTAGACTCAGGTGTCTAGACTATCTATTATATATTTCGTCATATGCTCAAAGCAAAAGTAGCTTGACTATCACACAAGATAGGTATTGAAGAAATATCATTTATATCTAAAGGTATTTCATGTAACAGATCTCTTAGCCACTCAGCTTCGTTTCCAGTTTCGGCCAATGCTACAAACTCCAACTCCATTGTTGAGTGAGTAATGCAAGTTCGTTTCTTAGACTTCTAAGAAGCTGCACCTCCGGCAAGAGTAAACACTAAACCTGAAGTAGACTTATTTTCTCCTGCGCTCGATATCCAACTAGCTTTAGTATATCCTTCCAAGATTTAGGGAACTTTGTATATCGTAGTCCAAGGCTTTTAGTTTTCTTTAAGTAACCAAGAACCCTACCGATGGCCATCCAATGTCGGAAATTTGATTGCTAGTAAACCTACTTAGTTTACTCATAGCAAAGGCTACATCAAGTCTTGTACATTGTGCTGTGTACATCAGACTTCCAATTGCACTTGCATATTCTATTTGAGCTATTGCCCTCCCATCATTTTTGATCAATTTGATACTCGGATCCAAAGGAATATTAGCCTCCTTGACGTTCAAGTGTTTGAACTTATTTATCACATTTTCAATTTAATGCGTTTGACTTAATGTAAAACTCCCACTATCTTTTTTAACTTTGATACCAATAATCTTATTCACTTGTCCAAGATCTTTCATTTTGAACATGGAGGATAGAAACCTCTTAGTTTCCTTGATTCCATCTTTATTGTTGCTGATGATCAACATATAGACATATTAAAGTAATTACACTATCATTTACTTTAGTGTAAAGACATTTGTCTATCGAATTATGATTAAAACCATTTAATAGTATTTTAGATTCAAATTTCTCATGCCGCTTTTTAGGGGCTTGTTTTAATCTATATAAAGATTTGATTAGTTTGCACACCTTATTTTCACTTTCTGGTAGAACAAACTCTTCTGGTTGTTCAATACAGACCTCCTTTTCGAAATCTCCATTTAAGAATACTGTCTTTACATCCATTTGATAAACCTGTAAATCATAAATTGATGCCAGTGCAAACAAGATCCTTATCGAGGTTATCTTAGCCATGGGTGCATATGTGTCAAAGTAATCTATTCATTTCTTTGACGATACCCCTTAGCTACTAATATAGCTTTGTAGGTATTAAGAGATCCATTGGAATTGCATTTCTTTCTAAACACCCATTTGAAACCAATGGCTTTATAACCTTTTGGTAAATCAACTATTTCCCAAGTATTATTTGAAATAATAGAATCTATTTCATTATTTATCGCCTCTTTCCAGAACATACAATCTCTAGAAGACACTGCTTCCTTATAAGTTTTAGGATCACTTTCCACTTCAAGAACAAAATGAGTTGTTCTTACAATGTCTTTCCTATCTCCCTCTACTAAGTAGAAAGAAATAAGTTGGGAACCTATTTCATCCAATCTTAGACCTTTTTCTTTTTTGATTCTCTTACTTTTTCGAGGTTCATATTCAACATCTTTTGTAGATATCTCTTCTTGTGGTTCTCTAGAATTCGAAATATCTTCATTATTTTGAGATTTTCTTACTAGTAATACATTTTCAAAAAATTCAACGTCCCTTGATTCTATTATAACATTTGGCTCAAGGTTTAATAACCTATAGACTTTGATATTTAGAATATATCCAATAAAGGCACATTTGATACCTCTAGGACCTAATTTGGTTCTCTTGGGATTCGTGTTCTTACAATAAGCAAGTCACCCCTACATTTTGAAATAATTAATATTTGGTTTTCTACCTTTCCATATTTCATATGA